GTGCTCGATGGTTGCGGGATTTGAAGATGTACCTGCGTTCATGTTGTAGCTGCCTCTTGTTCAAGGTAGCCTTAGATTTATAAAACCTCTATTTATGTATTATTCAAATAGACTATATATTTATTTCATTTCCGCTTTGTATACTCTATTCTTAGAAGATCATAATTTATACTACCAGTTCTTGGGGATTGTATAAGATTAAGATCTTTATTCACTTCAATTGCTTTAATAACTATTATTGGAATTGGATAATTGAAAGTTGGCTTACCTAGCGGGTTGGGTTAGGTGTCATCACGACTGGTTGGATTTTGGGTCGTGACACCTGCAATCATGGCCTTATATTCTGCCTCGTTGTTAGTCAGCTTCACAGTTCTAATGGATTGTCTAACCACGTTGCCCGTGGGTGCCTTCAGTACGATGCCAAGTCCGAACCCCTTTGCATTCGATGCACCGTCCGTAAAGAGGGTCCAGATTCTTGAGGGCGTTCCCGAGTTTACCAACAACTCTCTTTCGACCTCGGGTATTAGGGCCGGCATGAAGTCGGCCAAGAAATCTGCCAAGATTTGAGATTTAATAGTTGTTCGGGGTCGATATTCGATATCGTATCCACTGATTTCCACGACCCATTTGGCCAATCGTCCCGAGAGTTCGGGTTTATGAATTATATTTCGCAATGGGTAAGTTGTCACAACATATATAGGGTGGCATTGAAAGTACGATTTCAGTTTCCTAGAGGCGCTTAACAAAGCGAGCGCCAATTTTTCTAGATGGGGATATCTTGTTTCGGTCTCACCTAAGGTCCGGCTAACATAATAAATCGAATGTTGCGTAGCTTGTTCTTCCCGAACTAGGACTCCACTTACCGCTATCTCTGATACTGCCAAATATAAGTACAGTTGTTCGTCTTCCCTCGGCGTGTGAAGCAGTGGCGGGCTCGACAAGTATTGCTTAAGTTCATCCAGAACCCGTTGGCATTCCGGAGTCCATGTGAAGTTATTTTTCTTCCTCATCAATGAGAAAAATCGATGACTCTTATCGGAGGACCTCGAGATGAATCGCTCAAGGGCGGCTATGCGCCCGATTAGCCTCTGCACGACCTTCACATTGTCCACTACCGTGATATCCTCGATAGCTTTGATCTTGTCGGGGTTGATCTCGATTCCTCGGTTGGATACCATGAATCCGAGAAATTTACCTGACCCGACTCCGAACGCGCATTTTTCTGGATTCAATTTCATGTTGTACTTCCTCAATATACTGAAGGTTTCCTGCAAATGCTTCTAATGGTCCTCTGCTCGTAGGGACTTAACTAACATGTCATCAATGTAAACTTCCATAGATTTTCCTATTCGTTCTTCGAAAATCCAGTTTACTATGTGTTAGTAAGTGGCACCAACATTTTTTAATCAAAATGGCATTACATTATAGCAGTATATGCCATACTTAGTGATGAATTAGGTCTTTTCCTGATCATCCGGGTTCATTCGTATTTGGTTGTACCCGGAATAGACATCAAGAAAACTGAGGATCTCGTGGCCGGCCGTGGCATCGATCATGCGATCGATATTAGGCAAAGGAAAAGAGTCCTTGGGGCATGCCTTATTTAAATCTTTGTAATCTACACACATTCTTAGTTTGTTCCCTTTCTTAGGGACTACTTACTATGTTTGCTAGCCATTCGGGGTATTTGACTTCCCTGATGGACCCTATTTTAAGGAGTTTAGTTACCTCATCTTTGATGAAGGCATGCTTGATCTCAGACTGGGGTCTCCTTTTCTGCTTTCACCGGATGGAATTTCGGGTCCAAGCTCAGTTTATGAGTGGTGATCTCTAGTGGGATTCATGTCATGTCGAGATGGGACCAAGCAAAACAATCCATGTTAGCTATAAGGAATTGAATGAGTTTTTTCCTGAGCTCGGGAGTTAACCCCGTGCCCAGGTATACCTTTCAATCGGGCAGATGTTTGATCAGTATGACCTGCTCCAGCTCTTCGACCGTTGATTTGGTAGCGTCGGAATCATCGGGGACTATGAAGGATCAAGGTACCCCATAATCATCGTGTTCGTCAGTCCCCTGCTTATCTAGTTGGGTCGAGGCTGACGTCTGTGATTGCTATTTGGCTTCTTGTTTTGCTTTCGAATCTGACTCCTTTGTCGATGAAAGTGTCGATATTGGAATTAGTTCATCGATGGCAAATATTTCCTTCACGGCGGACTGCTCCCCGTAGATTGTTTTAATCCCTTATGGTGTTGGGAATTTTAGCACTTGGTGAAGGGTCGAGGGCACAATCCTCATGTTGTGGATCCACGGTCTCCCGAACAGGGCGTTATATCTCATGTCCCCTTCAATCACATAAAACTTGGTCTCCTGGATGGTCCCGACTGTATTCACTGGTAATGTTATTTCTCCCTTAGTAGTTTCACAAGCCATGTTGAATCTGTTTAGCACTCGAGCCCCGGGCAAGATTTCGTCCTATAGGCCGAGTTGTTCTACGACCCTTTATCGAATAATATTGGCCGAACTACCTGGATCAATTAACACACGCTTAACTCGAGTTTTATTAATTAGTACGGATATTACCAGTGCATCATTATGGGGTTGTATGATTCTTTCTACATCCTCGTCGTTGAAAGATACTTGATTACAGGAAGCAACGGTACTCTGGTGAATGAAGCAAAGAATACTTTGCATAAGAATTTTAAAATGAAAGACCTAGGAGAACTCAAGTATTTCCTAGGAATAGAGATGATGAGGTTTGACAAGGGGATACTGCTTAATCAAAGAAAATATGCTCTTGAACTCATTTCTGAGTCAGGCCTAAGTGGAGCAAAGCCAACTAGTTCACCTCTAGAGCAAAACTTGAAACTGACTGCAATAAATTATGACAAACACATGCAGCAGACAGGAGATAATGAACTGCAGGATATTGAGAGCTATCAGAGGTTGATTGGGAAGCTGATTTACTTAACAATAACCAGACCAGATATATGCTTTGCTGTGCAGTTGTCGAGTCAATTCATGCAACATCCAAAGCAGTCTCACCTAGAAGCAGCTATGAGAGATGTAAGGTACATAAAAAGATCACCTGGGATGGGAGTTTTCCTTAAGAAAGGAAGAATTACACGAGTCACTGCCTATTGTGATTCAGATTGGGCAGCATGTCCAAACACAAGAAGGTCAGTAACTGGTTATGTGATCAAACTAGGAGAGTCTCTGGTGTCTTGGAAATCAAAAAAGCAGCAAACAGTTAGCAGAAGTTCTGCAGAAGCAGAATACAGAAGCATGGCTGTTGTTACTGCTGAAGTAGTCTGGCTAGTTGGGTTGATGAAAGAACTGAACATAGAGGTAGAAGAACCTCTGAAATTATTTTGTGATAGCAAGGCAGCTATGCAGATAGCAGCAAATCCTATCTACCATGAGAGGACTAAACATATTGAAATTGATTGCCACTTTGTAAGGGAAAAAATGAAGGAAGGCCTGATAGCAGCTGAGTATGTTTCTACCAAAGAGCAGGTTGCAGATATAATGACTAAATCTTTAAGTGTAGCACAACACCATCTTCTAATATCCAAGCTAGGAGTGTTAGATATATTCCACCCTCCAGCTTGAGGGGGAGTACTGAGATTAGAATAGTAAGGGGACCTAAGTGTAATTGTCTAGACTTTAGGGGTAAAAATATTAGTCGGTCGAGAGGTGCACGTGAGTTAGTTAAAACAGTGCACCTCCTCCAGTTCTATACAGTTTTAGACATACATGAAAATGAAATGAAGTTTTTCTCCTCCTCTCTAGTTTGTTACTCTGTAATTGATCACTGCATGAACTAGATCTTCCACAAACTCACAGCTATTCAACATTCAAACACAACCACACCTGTAATTGCAACTACATAAACTTACTAACACCAACAAGAAAAGATTATTTTTTGTCAAATCTTAAATAGGTAAGAAGATAGTTTAGACCAAAGACAACATTTTCCATTTTAATTGCATACACTCCTGCAAGAAAAACAGAAACAAGAGCTCAACTTAAAGGATAAAGTCAATAAAGCAACCCCGAGTTGTCAATAAAGAATGATACTTTATAAGTTAAGCATCCATTCAAACGAAAGAGGCCAGAAAAGTAGGAAAGGGGCCAAAATACACACGAGAAACCACATCAAAGCCACATAATCTACATATATATTCTGAAAAGGGAATGACTACGTGATCCGTCGAGCTTTTTTTATGATTGTAACTTTTTATTTGAGTAAAAGATCATTCAAACATATAAAGGAAACACATCAAGCACTCAGTAAAAAATAAAGTGAATGATGATACTCTATACAATTACAAGCCAAAAAGGAAAACTTAAAGATTCTCGTGTACTACAAATGGAATCAGAATCTCAAAACCTCCTCCTTGTATCCCAGCAGCATTTGGGAGCAGAAGGATCTTTAGCTGGTTTCAGCATATCATGAAAGTCCACCATTATGATCCTTCTCTTGGCATTTTTTTGCTCAGCAACCCTTTCCTCAAATTTTCTTTTACTTGATTCAAACTTCATTCCGGATTGTGTTATTTTTTCCATTAATGGTCTTGCAACTGTAGAGCTTTGTGCTGGTTTTTGCATTGGTTTTGCAACTGTCGAGCTTTGTGCTGGTTTTTGCATTGGTCTTGCAACTGTAGAGCTTTGTGTTGTTTTCTGATTTGGTCTTGTAATTGCACTGCAGTTTCTCTGTTTCTGTAACTGCCCTCCTCCCTCAAGCCTCCTCTTGATCTTCTGTGAGGAACAATCTTGTTTTTCTTCCACGCGGTTGATATCCTCCTTCATCTTCCTTAAACCTCCAGGAGAATTCTTGGTTGCCGATCCCGTGACACAACTCATGTTCTTGCTTTCTGTACTGTCGGACAGACACTTCCCTACTTCTGTCTTCTTTTCTTTATCACTATCAACATGTTTGTGTTGAAGCTTGTCGTCAATGTCCTGAGTCTTCTTTAAACTTAGTTTAAATACAGTAGATTTGGCCTTACTGACGTTGTAGTTCCCTTGTCGCCCAAGAATATGGCCTGTTTCTTGAAACCTAGAAGAAGAACTCTTCTCCGTTTGGTGGAGATAATCAACAGAGAACTCAACACCACCACTATCGATTTCTTCATCACCAACACTGTCAACGCCGCCTGGTTTTCCGGATTCAGCAACATCATCAGTATTTCATCTTTGTGCTTCTTAAACTTTGTAGGTTACTTCCATGTACCAACGTCTATGGCTGCTTTAATCAACTTAAAAATATTTGGCTTCCTCTCTATGCCAAAATAGTTTAGAAACAATTCTTCTAAATCCATGCCTAAACTCATATCTCAATAGTTGTGATAAAAAAGTAGTAAGAAACAAGGAGAACAAAGTCGTGGGCTTGAGTTCGAAAATTAGCGAGTTAACTAGAACAACCTAATAAGAGTATAAATAGAGACATATAAGGATTTTGCCTCAGGGAAACCTATATTGATTAGGAAAAGGTTTTACAAGTTGGTAATATTTCCTAACGTGTTTTCTTTTGGAAATCATAAGTCTGATCAAACCAAGCGGGTAAAAACATGTGAAAAAATAAATGCGAAATATGCGAATAGACTTCTGAAAAATGACCGCCAAACATTAATTAATATCTAATCACCTTCTTCACAAATGAAATTTATAATCCACATTTTCAAAATGCGTCGTATCTCAAAAATGCTATGTTTTCATAAAGGAGATTAATTGCATTTCCTAAATGAGATTTAACATAATATTTTCACTTAAACATGTATAATTAATGAGAAATAAATATTGAAATCACAAAGTTTCTATATAATGAACAATATATACACCAAAAGATAATGTATAGCTACTTTTATATTAAATAAAATATATACATCAAATTGTAACCTGCAACTACGGGTGTTAATGATTCAGTTTGGCTAATATTTTATAAATTTGTACCATACTATTTTTTTTTTATTCTATTTTGTATAATTAAAATTAGACTTTTCGAACCGTCCTAATTATCTCGGTTTCTCTTCGATATACGTACGGTTCGGTTAATTTTTCGGTATTTTTTTAAAAACGTCATGCAAGAGTCGCTAGTCAAAGTTAGAATGCGATAAATGTGTACTTGCATAGGATTTTGACAAAACTCTCTAGACATTTTTAGTGATGATCAAAGGAACATGAAAGATGTCCAAAATAGAGATTCATCCCACTATTCTAATAGTAGCGTAAAACAAATTAAACAAAGACAAGAGAGCACCTATGTACTTTGCTAACTTATTTTTCTTATTTGATTCTATTTTATTTAGTTCACTTCAGTTATATTTGTCACATGAAATCTATATGTTCGACAAAGTAATATCTCACTAGATCCTATTGTACGAATCACATTAGACCATCATAATACGAAGGATGTATGAGCTTTAAGCTAGCATAACCTATTTGTACTTACCAAACAATAGTTGCAACATTCTAAATGTCAAATAAAATTGCACAACATATGATTTCACATTTGGATAAGTGAAATCAATTAAGAATTTTTTCCCTTTCTCTTCTTTCAGCTTCCTTCATTTCTGCTCAGTAACACTAGCCAGAGTGTAATATAACTCTTTCATTGCAATTGTATTCACGTGAGAGGTAGTAATTGTTTGGTTTGCAAAATAGACATAAAATAAAAAGAATTGACACATGCATAGAAGTGTAAAATTCGACCAAAAAGCTGAAAAGACTTTCAGTTTTTCAAGTTTAGAACTACAGATAATACCACTAAAAATCAGAAAGACTATTAAGATTGAATAATAAATCGACTCCAATTGATACAAACGAGAGCTGCAAACTTGATACAAACAGCCTACTTAAAATTGCATGAATTTACAATCGCACAAACTTCATATTTTTACATATGCAGTACTCTAACACTGAATATTTTAAAAGAAAGTGCATACGCGCAGAGATTGCAAAATTGCACAAGGTTAGTATGGCATCATAATGCAAATCTGAGAACTCACAAACTCTTTGAAACGAATAACTGAAAGTAGCACCAGTTACAGATTAAGTTCAGTTTCGCTATGTAAAGAGAACATTACAAATTTATATACAGCTATTTAACAACATGAAAAGTAAGTGTTTTCAATTCTCAAGTCTAATGAAGGAGCAGAGAAATCTTATGTACAGAAACTGGAAGGAGACTAAGAAGCTGAGAAAGCTTATGTACATAAATTGGAAGGAGACCGAAAAACGTATATACAGAAACTGGAGGGGGGCTGAGAAGCTCTTCAAGCAAACAAATAACCCTACAGCGAATTTCGCCTTCCATAGGTCCTAGTGACAGCTCCAAAATGGCTTGAAATCTGATTGTTGCACTTCTCCTTTAGTGAATGTACCCTCCAATACGAATAATATACTTCAGGAATATGTGAAACTTTCCCAGAATCAGCACCTAGTTTGTCGGGACGCAATGTCATGATAAATTCATCAGACATGCCAAAAAATTCAAGAATCTTCAGACTAAGGAGGCATTCAATTCCTATTGGCACACTTTCCAGCAGAGTACATCTCTGGATAACCATCTTCTCCAAATGAGGTATTGCACCCTCTTTGATTGTCACCCGTCTTAGTCCTTCCAACTTGTCCAAATTTAACAACTTAAGCTTCTGAAATTTACCTTGCTCAAAGTATAGTTCCTCTCCAGTGTATCCTACAAGAAATTCGAGATGGACAAGATTGGGCAAATCTTGGAGATATTTGAGCGGATCATCTGTTAAATGAGTCCACCTGAAGTATATTTTGACCAAGGAATGAAGATCTTGAATCCACCTTGGAAACTTAACAATGCGTCCTGTCAAATACAGGCGCTGAAGAAGAGGTGGAGGAGAAGACATGTAAGAAAGATCAAGGATCTCATGTTCTTCGACTGATTTAAGATTTAAAGACTTAAGCTTGCGGAGCTTTTCAATTGATGAGCACACAATCCTCCCATCTTCTTTTCTCAACTTTAGAATACAAAGTCTTCTCAGTTCACTCAACATCCCTACTTCTCTGAGTATGTCACTGCCGGGGGTTGCCTCAATATACACAAGTTTCTGCAAGGCTCTCAAAGTTCCAAATCCTCTCAAAGCCTTAAAACCCGGTGAACAATTATAAGGAAGATACGAGTAGGAAACGTGGCTATAAACTAAAAGGTGTCGGAGATTTTCAAGTTTCAAAATCTCCACAGGCAACTCAGTGACATATGTCTGCTTCAGATCTAATATTTCTAGCTGTTTGAGTCTTTCAATGGATCTTGAAAGCACCCTCACACTGGTATTCCTCAAGCTTAGATACCTTAAATGAAACAACTGGAAAACTGTTTCAGGAATCATTTCTAGAGGGGCTCTTCTCAAATCTAAAACTCTGAGCATCCTGGAGCTACCAAGCACTAGACTCATGCATGATAAGGACTGTGGATCTGCTTACACCAAATGTAAGAAAAGACCGGAGTTTAGTGGCTGACCTTTTCACTTGTAGGTTCCCTAGCGTGCCATGGATTGACAGGCGTCGAGTTTTTTCAGGCCACAATGTAGTCTGCTCATTAACTGTTGCAGTAAAGTTATCATCTCTTGATTTTGAAAGAATAAGCTCGCGATATAGGTCATGAATCCGTCCCAATTTCATGCTACCGTCATCATTGTATTGCACCGGATGGAGCAAGCTTCTGTTGATGAGCTCATTGAGATAGCCTTCTGCAACGTCTTCAACTGTCCTCCCCTCTTTTTGTTTTACAAACCCTTCTGTTATCCACCGGTAGATCAGCGTATTGCGCTCAATTAGATGATCCTCGGGATAAATGCTCAAATACAGGAAACATGGCTTAAGATAGTAGGGAAGATCATTGAAACTGAGTAACAAAACTATTCTCATACTCCCAAATTTGTCATTGCTATCAAGTTCAGGACCAAGGCTGTGATTAAGCATTCCCCATTCCCTAATATTAGTCCAGCTCTTTGTAGCCAAAACCCCACCAATGGCCACAATAGCCCGCGGCAATCCACCACATTTTTTTAAGATTTTCCTACAAATGCTCTCCAAGTGTGAAGGGCACAAATTACCATGAAATGCCTTTTGGCAGAAAAGACTCCACGTCTCTTCGACAAGGGTTTCAGCTCATAAACATAGCCATTGCACTCTATGCTACAAAAGGAAGCCACGTCGAAAAGACGTGTTGTGACGATAACACGACTTCCATTATTTACATCAGGCAATACATATCTAATAGCTTCCCAAGCTTGAATAGTCCAGACATCATCAAAAACTAGTACATACCTTCTCGATTGCAGGAATACTTTTGCTAGTGCTTTTAGTCTGTTACTGCTCATGGTGCTTAGACCTTTGGGGACTGGCTGCTTCACTTCATCATAGAGTTGTTGGATCATGTCTATCAAAACTTCCTCAGCCTTGAAGGACTGAGAAACTGTTATCCAAGCAACGCTATTGAAATACTTCTTAACTGCTGCATCCTCATACACTTTCTTGGCCAGGGTGGTCTTTCCCGAACCTCCCATTCCCACCACCGAAACCACTTTAAGCGTGGGATCATCCTCCACGAGCCAACTGATTAGCTGCTGTCTTGGATTCTCAATGCCCACTATCTCACCTTCTTCTAGCAATAGCGCATCCCCTCTGCGATCATGCGCAGTATTATAGACATGGTTAGAACTTGAACCTTGCTCGGGGACATTAAATTTGTAACGGTATCTCTTATGTCCCTCTGCAATATTGCGGACTCTTGTTTTGAGTGTTTGGATTTCGACGACAAGTTTATGGTTGGCTTTGATGTTTCTGATTGAGAAAACCAATTTAGAAATGAAACAACAAGAAGCATGGAAGTGATGATCATATGACAAGAGCATGGACTCATCAAGAACATCCTCAATGTCGTTGGCAACATCTCTCACTTGCCTAACCCATACTTTTACCTCTGCATCTCCCTCTTCTAAAGCATCGGCCACGCCAAGGAAGGCTATCATTCTCTCCAATTCATCTTTGATATACTGGATATCATGCTTGACTCCTCGAAGCAGTGTTGCTTCTTCCGCTAATNATATATATATATTGTGGTCCCTAATTAGTCACTGAAGCTGGACTCCTTTATGAATTAAGTAAAAGCAAACACGCTTGTCTATGGTACCAAACCCTTTCAATATATAGCAGTGACCTTGAAAGTAGAAATTTCAGAACAATTAAGCAATCAAATACAAAAAGTCAACTAAAAGGAAGTTGCTAGAAACTTTCTAAATTCTAACTAATTTCTAAGCTTAACTTTCTTCTGCTTTAGCCATAAGGTTTGAGAGTGATCAGGATTTGACTCAGGTGAATACAAAAGGATAAAATTCTATGTCAGGGGGGCAGTGGAGAAATAGGAAAGGTACAAAGTTTAAAAGGAAAACTTACACTAATCTGATGGAGGAGCTCTTCTAGTTAACCATAAACTACAACAGGAAGAAGAGATTCCAAATATGATGTTATTCTTCAAATTTGACTTTTCTACTTTGTGTTTGAAATCCTATCATAGGTATGTGGCTCCAATTTTCACCATAGTTGGTTGTCAGTCACCAAGTCAATGCTAGTCAAATGGAAAACGCAACTATTGTTTTGGTGAGTACAAAATTGTTTTGTCCCTAAGGTTTGAGTTGAGGTCTAAGATAAGTATAGGCCTGGGAAGCTACGTTGCGACTCTCCAAAATGAGGCAGCACCCGTGTCGGATCCTAAAAAAATACACTATTTTTAGAGGATCCGACACGTACCTGATAATATTTTCGGAGTGTCCGAGCAACATAGTTGGAAAGTTTTACTGCGTAGCTTGGCTCACTTCTGCATTCCATCAATATGTGGTCTGTAGCAAAGGCGGATTATGGCTTTAAGTAGGCATTTGGACATAAAAATTCTGATTTTTGAAAAAAGATAATATATAGAATTAAGTTAAAAAATAATATTTGGAATTTAAAATTGTGTTTGGGCAATGTATTTCACTTGAAAAATATTATAATTTTGTGAGTATGAAAAAGCTTTTTTTACGGAAAGCTTGAAAAAATGGTCATTGACTATTTTTTTGGTTTTTGAAAAACTTAATTTCAAAAAATTTTCAAAAGTTACAAGTTTACATGAACAAACACGTTTTAAAAATAATATTTCCGTAAAAAAGGGAAAAAATATATATATGGACAAACGGGTCCTTAAACCTAATATTTGTTGAAATTTAATCTGTTTTCACATGTTTATCTCTACCTCATGTGAGAAATACTAGATTCAGACGAACCATTAATCTTGAGTCCAACTCAAAACATAGTATAGGTCTAGACTCGTTGAATCCATCTTTAGACGTTTCCATTTGAGGTCCATATTTTCTTTAAATTTAGGTCTTAAAACAGTAGGTATAACGTGGGCTCAATTTACTCTATATTGTTTGGGGATGAGCACATAGGACATGTTTCGTAAGTCCCTCACTTTAAGAAAGTGCAACCTGCTTTTATATTTTCTTACTCCCCGTCTCATATTATCTGTCATGATTCTCTTGTACGCGTCTCTTAATAAAAATTAATTCGGATGGAATTTTGACTACTTTACTCTTATTCATGTCTTAATATTTAATCTTTCTTCATTGGTATTTGAACAAAGTTAGATATTTGTAGTTTTCAAGAATAATTATTACTAAGGATAAAAAATGAAAAAGATAATTAATTTTGTCTCGAAGGAGAGTATTAACACATTTCCTTCTATTTTTTCGGTTACCCTTTATCCTCTCATTCAATGTATGCCTTTTCCATATATATGGAATTATCCCAAAAGCTACATATTTCTGATATTGGCCAGTCAAAAGTTACACATTTTGAGGAAAATTCAAACGAAGCCACCCATTATCTAATAAAATTAAGCAAGAAGTAGCTGGAAAAAACTAACTTCAAAGTTCCAACAAAAATCAACCGAAACAGAATGAGTTAATGAATTAGGTATTATTAATTAAAGAACTAGTATTAGCACCTGCGTGGATGCGCGGATACTAATCATGTCAAATATTTAAGTTATTTGGATTATATGTAAATAATCTTAAAATTTAAACTTTCTCGGTAATATAGATAGTCATTGGATATTAATAAAAATACTACATGAAAAAAATTAACCATTTCTTCTATTTTTCTTTTTTGATACCATTCTCGCCGATGTCATTGGATCTTAAAAATAGTCATGAAGATAAATAATAACTCATATTTATGGCAAAACAATCAAATGTTACGACTATGAATGACTCTTTAGATACGACTTGACTTTTTTACTACTACTTGAACTCTTATTTGGTGTGTTGATATCTCTTAAAAAAATATTTCGTTTTTAAATTTTCAGTTTTTAAAAATTTATTTTTCAATAATAATTATTTTTATAATAATATAAGTGAAAATATTATCCTTAATTCAAACTCATTTTAGTTGGCTATCTAAAAATTTAAAAAATTCTTTAGCCAGTGAATTTGTTTTTACCAGTATGACTCCATTTTGATATTTGACATTAACCATGTTAAATATATGAGTTATTTGAATTATATGTAAATAATCTTAAAATTTAAACCTTCTAAATAATTATAGATAATCCTTAGATATTAATTAAGAAACACTACATGAAAAAAGACTAATATTTTTTCAAATCTCGTAGTGATAATTTTATTTTTACACTATTCGCATTGGTGTCATTGGAACCTAAAAATAGCCACAAAGCGAAATAATAACTTATATTTATGGCAAAGCACAAAGGTTGACACAATATAAATGATTCTTTGATTACAACGTGACTCTTTTACTACGACTTGAACTCTTATTTGGTATGATATTATCTTTCAAAAATATTTCTATTTTGAAATTTCAATTTCTAAAACTTTATATATATTTCAATAATGATTATCTTTATAATGATGTGAGTGAAGATATTATCATTAATTTAAAATTCACTTTAGTCGGCTATCTAAAAATTTAAATAATTCTTTAGCCGAAAAAACTTTATTTTAGTATGACTCAATTTTAAGTTTAGCAATATCTCTACCCACAGATATTGAATTTTTAATACCATATATATACAAAAATTTTGTTCTTTGAATCATTAAATGTTAAATTAGTTGATTGTTATTATATAACATTGCATATATTGTCTTAAAATTATCAAGTAGTTTATTTTTCGACACCATACTTGGCTTAACCTCAATGCAAACTACTCAAATTATATTTAAATTCAAATTCGAATATCATATCAGTTTGTTAGTAATAGTGATTTTTTAAAAACGACACACAATGTAAATAAAAAAAATATTCTAAGATACCCTGATCTTATAATCTATGTATTTGAGTTGAAAATAATATTTGAAATCGATGAGATTAACTTCCAAATTTTTTATACTCAACAAAGATGAAACAAAAGAAGAAATTCGTTATCATCTCTTATTTCTATTTTTTAGATCTTTCATAATATTTATTTTCTTTTATCTTATTTTTTATGTCATTCTTTCTTTTGTTACAAAAAATTAATCTATTTCACTATAAAAGTATGAGTTTTAATAGAAATTGTCTACATAAGAACTTTATTTATATTTTTAGTCTTTGGTTGAAATTGTTTCATATTTTTCTTTTGACTTTATCTAATCAGCCTAAAAAGGTGCTCACCCGACCACTTAAATTAAAAAAATGAAGGATTTATAATTTATATATAATCCATATATAATATGTGTATAATCGTGTGTTGTCGGTATATCATCTATTTATATTAGCTATAAAAGGTAAAGAATAAATATGGCCGGATATTTATGTAAATATTCCATAAGATTTCGTTCTTTTGAGTTTATACATGATATGACTTCTATTATAATAATTTTAAAAACTCTCTACTAATATTAAAAAATATCTTATCTTTTTATTATCTTTGAAGTAGAAAAAAGTAAAGAGTTTTTTCGAAATAATTTGTTTACATTTTTTTTAAAAACTATTTCACGTCATACCAATTCTTTTTAAAAAATATACTCTTTATTATACTTGAAAATCGCTATACAAACTGTCAATTAGAAACCAATATCTCTCTTGTTAAGTTCGAGAAAAAAAAACCTTTCACATAATCTAATGATTCAAAAATAATATTCTTCAATGAAAAAAAATATTATACCCTTGCAATATTGGCTTGACTGCAGCTAAATAAAGGGGTTTCAGCTATACCCTTCAATTCCTAGAATGTGCTAAATTGAAATTAATGATAGCAATTGTATAGCCAAAGTTTTGTTCTTTGTTTGATGTCCATTTATACACATTGACTCTTCAAACAAATATTCTTCAAAAGAAAAGAAAAAAACATTTTTTTTTTAATATTGACTGATTTTTGTGATGTTTCTTTCTCCAGCATGTATGTTTACTTCATTATATATGTAAGTAAACTTTTATTCGATTTTTAAACTCTTTTTTTGTTATTTGGATAAATATAGACGTGTACCCTATATATTATATTTATTTTAAAAGAAATTCGCTTTATTCAAATCTAGCTACAATGTTTTAAAGAACTATAATTATAGGGCTTTAAATGTGAAAGAATTTTATAGTTATATAGAGTAGTTTTTTTTTTTTTTGGTTGCCAGAGGCGAAGTAGTATTTAAATAATTAGAAAAGATAACAAAAATTTCTAACATGATTGCATATGATCATTAACCGAATTAATAGCCTGTTTGGCCAAGCTTCTAAAATCAGCTTATTTTGAAAAGTGCTTTTCTCAAAAGTGCTTTTGGGGAGAAGCAGTTTGTGTTTGGCTAATTAATTTGAAAAATACTTTTGAGCAGTAATTAGTATTTGGCCAAGCTTTTGAAAACTGTTTCTAAGTGTATTTTTCAGAAAAGTGCTTTTGGAGAGAAACTACTTTTTTTTGCTTCTCAAAAACTACTTCTGCTTCTCCTCAAAAGCACTTTTTTTCCTTCCAAAAGCTTGGCCAAACACCTCAATTTTTGGCCAA